AATACTCTGATAATTTATGCATTGTCTTTGAAACTGATTGGTCCACACCGGAGACAGCTTTCTTTCTGCTGTCTCTGGTGTGGACCAATCAGTTTCAAAGACAATGCACAAATTATCAGAGTATTTTTTTTGTTTGCATTTGACTGCAAGTATTGTGGTTAATGTAAGCATGATTCCTTGCAAAAGGTGTCAGTTTTGTTGCCAGAAAAAAGGGGAAAACCCTGTTAGTATATTTTGGTACAGGCAAAGGAGGTCCCATGATGCCACCGCTTGCTTCAGCGGATCGAACCGGTTCACCTCTGCGTCGCAAGTCACGTGCGCTAAGCATCGCAGCACGACAGCATTCCGGTGGGCATGTTCATGTTCAAGAAGCTGAATCTCGCAGTGCACGTTGGGATTGGCGAGGAGACATTTTGAATCCATTCTCCCACGGCGAAGGCATTTTGAACCGGACGCCACAGTTTCGGTTTTTCGTTGACTTGTGCGTGTGTACACGTTAAGCACTTTTTTGTCAATCCACTGCTGGATTAGAGCCCGTCATGGCGTGCAGCTCATTGGGGTTATTTCACCATACTTCACCCTGCTGAGAATGGCAGAATTCTACATTTGAAGCTTTCGTGACTGCAAGGATTCATACTCTTAGTTCTTTCGGTAAAGTCACGTAGGTAAAAAATAAAACTAATAAAAATAAAACAATAAAAAATTACGACGTGATTTTTTATTGTTTTATTTTTATTAATTAAATTTTTTACCTACGTGACTTTACCTAACGGCAGAATTGGCTAGGCCACTGTTTAACCATTTTTCAGGGGCAGATTTACAAACTGTAGCTAATTAATTCATTGACTCTGCTGATGAGGCCACGAAGGTTAAAATTGTTTGACTCGATTCAATGAATGCCACAGGGTAATATTGTTCTCAACATGCAACACATTCATGGATTTTCTTTTTTCGTGGATATAAAAAAACAGACGTCTCATTATTCATGGATAATTAAGTTTATTGTCTCAATAATTAATTGCTGTTATCTACTCAACATAAGCATCGATGATTAATGCAGTCATAGTCGTCCAAGAGTTGCTGCTATTATTGTAATGGGTAAAGTGTCACAGAAGAGTAGGTCAATTGAACCCTATGGCGGTTCCCCGGAGTAGCCATAGTACCATAGTCGCCGTGGCTCTCGCACCAATGTCCGCGATGCAGTCACTTTTAGTCTGTTGATGGTCGGCGATGCGGCAATCGACTCATCTCGACGAGCTGTACACGATGCACTATTCAAAGTAGAATTTTTCGATAGCGGATTTTTTGTATGCTAATGTTTTGCGTTTTGACATCGCCGCGGAGTTAAGTACACCCCTGGAAAAAAATAGTGTTCCAGAAATAAAATATTTAATTGCCTCGGCCCATTTTGTATTATTTGGTATCCCGGGGTACCGCCATAACGATCAAATACCCTCCGGAGTAGAGGTCCTTCTGGCAGCAGTGACATGAGCAAAAATTGCACGGTTGCGCCTTTACCTTTTTTCCCATGTCAAGATTTACGTATTCAATCATCATCTGGCTGCTTCAGTAAAGAAGCTCTGCTTCAAAGCAGCTTTCAAGCCTCGGTTGTGGAAGTAGCCTGGCACATCATTTGCCTGAACGCAAGTTTTTACCTGACCCAGCGTGACTCTGCTGCCTCCTAGTGGTTCAGAGAACTCTCTATCTCTCTCTTTGCATTGAACAAAGTGATTGAAATTCCCTGTGAAATCCATTACGATCAGTAAATCCGTGGCTGTGAACTTCCATTCTCGCCACTCACAAGCCCGATGGTCACAGGTTATTAAGACGCAGCTGTGTCATTGGAAATCGCACACACACACACGTGCTGCTCTGATCACCCACACTAAGGAATTAAAGCGTTGTTATGTTTCATCAACCAATGTAGAGCAACGGGGCCGTCCATAAATGACGTCACGCGATTTTGGACGGTTTTTGACCCCCCCCCCCTCGTCACACGGCGTCACAAAAAGTCAGATCCCCCCCCCTCAAATATGACGTCACAAAGCTCTGCCCCCCCCCCCCCCAAAACCATATTTCCATTTTGAAATTAGAACATGCTTCAAGTCGCTTTAAACTATTGTCATTGTAGTGCGTATTTAATGTGGCGCTGCACTCTGATGTTTTAGGAGAAAACATTTATTAAAAAAGTCTATTTCAGTAAGTAGAACGTGTTGTCTATATTTATTTAAAGTTGCGCATTTTGATGTGACGTCACATTTCTCAAACCCCCCCCCTCGTCACACATCGTCCCAAATGTCTGACCCCCCCCCCCCCTAGGTGCGTGACGTCATTTATGGACGGCCCCAATGGGTAAATGTGCAGCCCAGCAATCGTTTTCTCGCGCAACTGCTGGCAGGAGAGACTTAACTCGTAGGTAAGATATTTATTGTGCTGGTAATATCATAAAATTCACACCCCGCGAGTTCCTAAGCCACACATTATTCATTCAGTGTTTTATTGACACATTCATACTGCTTAATGTTTTGGCCAAATGAACCTTATGGCGGTACCCCGAGGTACCACAGCGCCCCGGCTCTCGCATAATGTCCGTGATGCAGTCATGTTTAGTCTCTGTTGATGGTCGGCGAGGCGGCAATCGACTCATCTGGACGAGCTGTACACTACGATGCACCACTACGGTGCGTACGCGAGCGTTCAGGGTTTCGGCGCAATCGTGTTCGCTGCGTTTCGACATCGCGGAGTGTGGCACCGATTTCGGATTGATTGGTACCCCAGTCGCGGAGTGAAGTACACCCCTGGAAAAAAAATAGTGTCCCAGAAATAAAATATTGAATTGCCTCGGCCCATTTTGTATTATTTGGAACCCCGGGGTATCAGCCATAAGGATCAAATGTACAACACAGCTGTCGTGGCAAATAAATACATAAATTAACACATAAAACTTTCGTTTCCGTCTACGAACAGCATGTATATGGTGATATGCAAATATGAAAGGGGCAGATTGCACCCAACTCTGTAAATGCTGATACAACACCATTGCCATTCCCATCAGGTGCTTTGTCTCATAACCGCGCCATTACAATATATACAAAACGTCACATGTCCACCCTGCCTAATTAATGATAATTAAACCACTTATAACGTGCACGAATTTCGCGAAACTCGGCGGCGCAGAATTAACCAGCCCTGTGTAGTTTTTGAACACAAGATGTGACCAGTGCCGAACTTTCAAGGGCCCCGCGCTAAATACTTTCAAGCTATCAATTCCGGTTCAATTAATCTGTACTTGCTCTATTACAATAGTACTATATCGCCTTCAGCTATTATGAACGACTGGGTGTTTAAGGTTAGCGATTTGTCGCATTATTCGGCTGTATGCCAAATGAAAAAATACAATTAAGAATATTGGCCTATACCATCAGCCCCCAGCGAGTTCGATATGTGACATTGGACTGTTCAGTTACATGTATAATTAATATTAGTGACCATCTGGCAAGTGCAACATTAATGATCTTCACGGTGAGAGAAGTTAATAACGTTGGCCAATTGACCCAATAATCTGTACATTATGAATGGAACATATCAGCCCTAACAGGTTTGATTAATTGTTTTGATTCGGGGTCACAATTGAATTAGGAATCTATCGTGATACAATTTGTACTGACTTACTATAAATTATAAATACTGGAACACATTTTTTTACGTATGTGCATGTACAATGAGCTTTAGAATAGATTTTTATCGACAGATCGTTCCATCCCAAAAGAACATACCAGGTTGTAAACGGTTTTTATTGCTTATCATTAGAACAAAAGATGGTCTGGAGGTGGGCGGGTAGCTCAGAGGTCAGAGCGCTGAACTGGCACCACTAAAATATTTTGGGTTCGAGTCTAGACAGCCACCTATGGCTAAACTAAGATGTTTCAGCCCAGTCATTGATTGTACAAAAAAAACACAACGTATAATATTCTGTTGTCGGCACTTAATTTGGCTAAATTACGGTTCTAAGAATAGAAATTACTGGTTTGACCGTCATGTTACTGACAAATGATCTCTGTAGCAAGGCGAGTGGAAAATCACTGCGCCTCCTCCCCCACCATGTGTAATATAGGTAACTTTAAGTAATTCTGTGATTTCACCTTCGCAGACCATTCTCAACAACAGCGGTACATCGCTCTGCGAGAATTCCGATTGGATTCTTTGTTTCGTATTCAGGGAAAAAGACGAAATATAATATGAAAACCTTAATTCTGTATTATAATGACAATATGTTACATCCCTCTGTCAATCCACTGCTGGACGAAGGCCCTCCCATGCCATGTCGGTTATGGAGGTTGATTAACCATACTTCACCACGCTGGTCAGTACGGGTTGGTGTCGGGCTGGGGGCGGGGCACGAACTGGTTCAGTTATCACTTGCCACTGACGTTGACCATGGCTGGGAATCGAACTCAGGTTGCTAGATGTACATCACCGTGCACTAACGACTGTGGCACCGTGCGGTGAACAATTACTATCCAATTATTTTTCATTTTTAACAAGCAAGCACCCACTGAGCTGTATAGCTCTCTTTTCAAAAGCGACCTGGCCACGAAGTGGCTTATCACGTGTAGATTTATAGCAGCCAAATACTCTAAAAGGCACGTTTTGAAATTGTGCAGGGGAAAAACCAGGGGACCTGGAGAAAAATCCATACATGACGGGGAGAGAGACATGCAAACTCCGAATATACAGCAGGCGTCAAGGTTGGGATCAACCCACAACCTCCTGTGTACCAGGCGAGGTAGTTAACATCCCGCGGCCACCCAAGTATGATCAAGCAACCCCGGTGACAAGCACGGCGTGGGGAGGTCTTCATCCAGCAGTAGCCAGGCAAGGGGGCTGTAAGAAAGTATTATGTTAGACGAACCTCACGCCGTAAATTAATCTTTATCATATTCTTAGGGGTTTTTTCGGTAAAATCACGTAGGTAAAAAATGAAAACGTCGTGATTTTTTTTTACTTTCATTAATTTTACATTTTTTTTACCTACGTGACTTTACCGAAAAAAAACCCTAAGAATATGAATCCTTGCAGTCACGAAAGCTTCAAATCTAGAATTAATCTTTATCATTCCAACCAGACGTCTATAACTGCGGGACTTAAAAAAAAACACACTGAGCGCTGTTGGTGCAGGCACAGTGGATGACCACGCCATTCCTCGCCCCTCTCTCCCAAGATATTCATCGGAGGACGTTTTCTGACGCAAGGCAGCAGTTGCACATGGTCCAACTCCCAGACCTGTGTGTGCGTGGGTTTTTTTTTATATTTTCCTCTTTCCCCACGGCAGTGTTTCTCAATCTCCCGCACGCGTGTCCACAGTCGATTTAATGGATTTGAAAACACATCCTGTGCAAGATTTTTAAGAGCTTTTGCAAAATACATATACATATATACGTGTATTCTCCCATTAGGGAGTAGCATTCTCATGCGAACCGTGTTGCTTTAATAGAAAACGTAAAAATTCACCACAGTCGTCAGTAACACCACCTTAAAAATAAACATGATAGGCGACGTTTCAAGCAATGACCCTTCTTCATGTGCTGTGAAGGGCCATTTCCCTTAATGTCGCCGATGATTTGTATTTTTCTTTTAAGGCAGTGTTGTTGACGAATGTCTATTTCTTTAATAGATTTCCAGGGGACACATTTAGGGGGACCCAACCGCTCTAAGCACGATTAAACACCACCACGACCCCCTTCCCAATTTTACAGGTAACTCTTTTATCTACGATATCACCTGTGCATGCCACAGCCGGCCTTCATCGGGGCAGGCCGGGCAACTATTGACAATCCCTCTATTAATGACTCCTGTAGATTAATGTAGGTCATGACAGTTTAGCAAATGGTAACGCTACGATGATACGGTAATCTCTCAAGGCGCTGTTCAGGAGAGTGAGCCGTCATTCGGACGTCTACAGTTAAGTATCAAAGAGGCCGATGACAAGCTGTGTATAAATGTGTAGGGCATGTTTCACAGGTAGGAAATCTGCATCGTGTGGGCAGTCTTTAGGCTTCCGAATGACAGATTAGTCCCCGAAACAATATTTTAAGAGATTACCTCATTTTGTAGAGTGACCGTTCGCACAACTCTTATCTGTACATTTCAGCATATCAGTTGAGATTGTTTTCCAATAATTTTCTTGCATTACATATTTAATTATTATATTCCGTTATCATCTACATTCATCGACAGACGCATATGCGAAATGGATTGTAAATGTGTAACCATGTTTAAATGGCAAAATGTCATGATTAATTTATACATATTACGGACGTAGCATTGCATCAATTCATCAATAAATATTGATTCTTATATTCACGATACACACATCAAATCACATGCGTGAGAACCAATGTTTATCAGTTCTTATATTATAAGTGTAATGCCATGGATTTGCGTGATATTTTCGGCCACGAGAGGCCGCTAGAGTAACCACAATCTCATTTATTTATATTTTATTGAATTGAATAGTTGCCCTGAATGAATAATGCCAGTCCAGTGAAACATGGGTATCATGCGGGATGAGGATTTGAGAACAAGTCATTTTATCCTGAACAAATATCCATTCACAATGCACCAGCAGAAACCTGCACAAATACAGTATCGCAAAACTATTTTGTCTGACTGCCTTGAAGTTGGCTTTCTTAAAAAAAAATGTATCCTCTTAATGCAAATCCTTCTACAGCCTGACCACAGTAACCATGAATGTCAGAAAGTCCAACGCTCGTTTCGCAACATCGTGTGTTACGACAAAATCAATCTCCAGACCAGGCAGCATTATTCACTGTTCAGTACCATTGCTTGTAATTCATGTCGGCTTTTTTGGGCCCAGAACACATGATCGGACCTCCCCTCAGAGGTGGTTTGTTGACTCAATAAAACTGAGGAAAAATAATACGTTTGTATATATACATACACTGTATTCTCCGGGTTATAAGACGCTCCGGAAAGTAAGGCGGACGCGAAGCTTGCGTCTGCACCGCCGGTGGTGCTGAAATCGGTCACTCGTCAGCACATTTTGTGCGCGTGACAAAACTCGCTAAACTAAAGAAAACAACTTTTTTGTTGTTTAAATACCAGGTAAGGCCCAATGAGCTATATAGCGCTTTTTTTCAGAAGCGTCCTGGCCACAGATGATAGCTGAAGTGGCTTATGTGGAAATGTATAACAGCCAAATAAATCCTCAATACGCATGTTTATTAAACGAACCTTATGGCGGGAGCCCGGGGTCACCAATAAACGGAAGTCAAAATCGTAAATTATTAAAAACATTTTCCGACTCCGTCCCACCGTGCACATAAACGCCGCGACCCAGCTGGCGTGGATCGTTCTGTTGTCGTGTCGTGTCCAAGCGCAGCGAGGACGAATGCGCAGAACAAACAAAACTTAGAAACTTTGATTAGTGCATCGTGTAGAGCTCGTCGAGCGGAATAGATTGTCGTATCGTTCGCCTTCAACAGACATAAAACAACGTCGCAACGCAGTTTGTGCGAGAGCCGGGGGCTTATGGGACCCCAGGGTCCCGCCATGAGGTTCAGTTGTAAACAGGCGTCAGGCACAGTTCCTCGATCGGCAGGTCGCGTGCCCATGGGGTAACAGCGTGGAAGAGTAGGTCCAATAGACGCACCTCTAGAGGGCCTCTCTTGAGCTCCTAATAATGGAGGCCCTTCCAGCAGTAGTGGCGTGAGCGAGCGATTGCTACACCTCCATCGCACTCCTCTTGTTTTGGACCACACGCAACTCGCATCCTTCTTAAACGTCTCTGTCGGTAGTTTTTGGAACGAAATATCCTGCATGGAGCCAGAGCGCGGAAGCCTTTTGGGTTGGGTTGGACTCCCTCTCCTGGAGCCCGCAAGCCTCTATCCTCCCAGCACCAGGCCTTCCGTCATCCATCAGCTTCTCGTGCTGCTGCTGCTGCTGCCATTCCTCCCCAGGCGACTCAGGTCATCATGATGTTGATCTTGCTCCACTCGTAGATGTCCTGCTCGCAGATGATGTCCGAGTTGACGAGGAGGTAGCGGTCGCCCACGCAGAAGTGCTTCTGGCAGGCGGCGCACTTGAAGCACTCGAGGTGGTAAACCTTGTCCCGCACGCGCATCGTCATCTCGAAGGCTCGGATGCGCTTCTCGCACGACGCGCAGTGACCGTCCTGCCCAAAGAGCCTGGGCACAGACACAGGCGGATCTCATAACTTCTCAATGCAGGTGGAAGGTGCGGGGTGGATTTGTGTGTGGGGGGGGGGGGGGGTTTCAAGCACATTAGTTAGTGGGCCGGCACTGAACAAGAGCAGACTGGAGCCCTAACGGTCGAGATATGTTTGTCTGCAGAGGTCCACACTGGGTCATCGGTGTTGACCTCTAGGTTGAAAACTCATTTCTTTAGCGCAGCATTTTTTGTGTTTAGTTAGTTATCACCCCCCCCCCCCCCCACACACACACACTCCGATTAGCACGGTTGGCTACGTGAGTTCAACATACACACACGTATGTACAAATAGGGCCCTATTTGTACATACGCATTATTTCTGGTAAATATCAATATCATGCCAATTGTTGGGAGTCTCAAGTGGTAGTTGGGGGGGCAATCGTCCCTCCCCTCCCCCCATCTCCCCGCCCCTTGGATCCGCCGATGGACAGAGACGTCAGCCACAGGTTTTACTGGCCGCGCGCGAAGGCTGTGCCAAGCTGCGTTGTATTGTTATCATAAATCCGTGCTTAATCCACTGCTGGATGAAGGCTTCCCCAAAGCCGCTGCCACCACCCACGATCCTGCGCACGAGCCGATTTCATCGCTCCGTCTCCCCCCCGTGGACGCTAGTCCAACGCGTCCCACTCCCTGGCTGCCGCTACGCCAAATTTCAAAACCTGCCCGCAAATTTTTACTAATGCCCCAGGTCACCCTTGCAAATGAGCTTTTCCTCGGGTCTCTTTATTTCTCACCTGGTTAAACAAAAAAAAAAGACTTGAAAACTTCACTGGATCAAGACTATGATGATATATTTGTAAAAATAACAAAAATGCTGACTCAATTACCACTGCTGACGATGCTGGCACACATCCGCTAGCCACTGGTTTGCCGGTCGAACGTGGGGCAGAAGTGCGTTATGGAAAAAGTATAAGTCCGGTTTGTTGTTTTCCCACGTTAGCATTTAGTGCTGTGTACTCTGTGAGTGGTTTGTTAGCCCATGTTTGGCGTGATGAGGTGTAATAACTAACGGTGCGAACGATGCACCGATCCATCGAATGACATCTATTCTTACGCTTGCGATCACGTGCACCCAACCGTGTTCTTTTCAATTAGTATACGCTGTATGTAATGGGTGAGTGTCAGCCTGGACACCCTTGCAAATGTCATGCTCCATCTCAAGGTATTTTTTACGTAATATAAATAAATAACACGTGCGGCTACGAGAGGATCTCCTATTCACCATAATGTACGTGCATAAAATAATCGAATCACGATCCGGACACGCAATGATTAATCGAATCGACCGGACGTGGGTGGATGGATGAATAATTTCCACTCCGATTGTAAATCCACGCCTGGAGATTTTTGTTGTGTTGATTCTGCACGCAAGCGACACACAATTCCATGAAGCGATGCCCTGTCGCGTGTTTTTTTTCCCCCTCCTTATTCTTCCTTCCATGTAACTTCCCGATCCATAGGGGCCGTCCACGATTTTTGACCCCCCCCCCCCTCGTCACACGGCGTCACAAAAGTCAGACCCCCCCTCAAATATGACGTCACAAAGCACTGCCCCCCCCTGCCCCAAAAAATAAAACATGGTTCAAATCGCTTTAACTATTGTCATCGTTGTGCGTATTTAATGTGGTGCTGCACTTTGATGTTGTAGGAGAAAACATTTATTAAAAAGTCGATTTAATTAAGTAGAACGTGTTGTCTATATTTATTTAAAGTTGCGGGAAAGCGGAAGCCACTTTATTTATTTATTTGTCTCACCAACCAGCACGCACTGGCACTAATTTTGAAAAATCGTTCAGCTGTAGCTCTCGCACTTCATTGCCACGGTAACATTCCTACAAGTAAAACCTGCGCGTAGAAACCCACTGCCGCCAGACAGGAAAGCGAATTGTCTCCACGCAACTCTATTTACATTTCAATAAACCTCGTCGTGTTTTGCAGGAAATACCATTATTATATGTAAAGTTACATAATAGTAACAATTTATACTGGTAGGAACCTCCTGGTTACACCAGCCCACAGGGGATTATTGTGTCCGTCCGTCCGTCGTGCAGGGAGGGGCTGGGTGGGGAGGGAGGGGCTGGGTGGGGAGGGTGGGGCTGGGTGGCGAGGGGAGGTGGGGAGGGGCTGGGTGGGGAGGGTGGGGAGGGGCTGGGTGGGGAGGGGCAGGGTGGGGAGGGGAGGGTGGGGAGGGGCTGGGTGGGGAGGGTGGGGCTGTGTGGGGGGTGGGAGGGGTGGGGCTGGGTGGGAAGGGGCTGGTCACCCCGTGGTGCCCTTATAAAACTCAACGTTTAACCTACTTACGCCAGCTTGTGCGCCGTTGATCCTGGCCATTGACCGAGCAACCCAACGTTCCTACCAGCTCCCTCCGCAGGAATGTGTTTATTTACAGCCCTTTGTCAATCGATTTCCGGATGAAGGCCTCAACTACACCGTATCAGTCGTGGGGGTTGTTCCACTATACTTCACCGTGCTGGTCACTTTGGCTTGGTAGATTTAAGGGAGACCAACGCCCGTTCATAGCAGAGGTCGCAATCGGGTACCGATACCCGTACCCTACCCGATACCCGTACCCTACCCGATACCCGTACCCTACCCGATACCCGCACCCTACCCGATACCCGGCTACCCTACCCGATACCCGTACCCTACCTGATACCCGTACCCTACACGATACCCGGCTACCCCATACCCGTACCCTACCCGATACCCGTACCCTACCCGATACCCGTACCCTACCCGATACCCGTACCCTACCCGATACCCGGCTACCCTACCCGATACCCGTACCCTACCCGATACCCGTACCCTACCCGATACCCGTACCCTACCCGATACCCGGCTACCCTACCCGATACCCGTACCCTACCCGATACCTGGATACCCTACCCGATACCCGTACCCTACCCGATACCCGGATACCCTACCCGATACCCGTACCCTACCCGATACCCGGCTACCCGTGCCCGGCCGGGTACGGGTAGCCGTTTGCGACCCTGGTGCGGCCGGGTACGGGTAAGGAATCAAAACCCGTTTGCGACCTCTGGTTCATATTGGTCACCACATTCACAACTGATGTTGTCAATGGCTGGGAGTCAGACTCGGGCTTTTGGGTCCACAACACAGTGTGCTCGCCGCTGCACCATTAAATACAAATAGTTCTGTGTTTAATGTGCACAACATGTAGTTATTGCAGAATATTTCTCGTTAGAAACCCCGTATTTATATATTTTCTATGTATTTAGTGTATCCCTTTTTGAATGTTTATTACTTTACTTGTTAGGGAACAGGATCGTTGTTCCATTGTTGAAATGTATGTTATTGAATGTTGTGCCTTTGCTGTATTAAATTCAATTTGTGTTATGGACTTCATGTCAGAAGGGAAAATGAACTCTGCAGCTAGTTGTGGATGACCCCGTGTCAAAGGATAGTCCTCGAAGAAGACACGACATAACAACATCTCAAGTGACTCCAATAGACTAACAGGGTCTACTGTTTAAATTTGCTACAAATATCGTCCATCGTATGCCAATCCAAACGCGAATTTCACATTCTTAGAGCTGGAATTTCGTCAAAATAAAGTGGAAAACATTTATTTCTGATTTTTTTGGGACAGTCATTGAATCAGGCCAAATAGTCACACTGCACTACTGAAGCATGTTAAATCACATGCGGCTGAAACTCCGACTCCAACTATAACAAACCATTAAACTAAACTCGGGCTCTCAGCAGTGTTGTCCAGGTGTCCTCTGACCCGAGACACCCAGCCACCTCCCACCAATGAAATGCCTCTAAACCGTTAGGCTGAGGGAGCTTATTGGCTGAGATACCATGGCACTCATCTCAGTAGTTCACATGAAGAAGCCCTTGAAAAACCCTGCAGCGGAAGTTATTTAAGCTACAAAATTCCTGTAGTTGTTTTTTTCATTTCATCACATGTTGGCTCTCAGAACTAGGTATATAACTTGTTAAATAAATAGGCAGGATGATTGTGTGTGCACAATACAGGTGCCTGAAGAGGCGGTAAAATGGTCTGCACATTAAAGCAAAGAAGCGGTGGAGAGGTCAACGTTTAAGGTTTAACTGACATTTAAGTAGGAACACATGGATTGGAGAACTTGTAAAGATGTATGGAAACATGTCTTTCCATCATTCTGCTTTTAAATCAAGAACCAAAAGTATTGCAATGATGATTCCTCGATTATAATTGTGGGTTTCAGCCACGCATGATGAAACCACGCTCTCAAGCATAGCGATTTCCTAATCTTCCTCCCCCCACATACAAAATGAGGCTTGTTATACAAATTCTGATGGCTTATCAGATGTCCAACCTGTCAACCCATTCGGTGTACCCGTATTCTTGTACGGGGAAATTGAGTGTGCAGGTCCATATGGCGTGCAGCCGTTTCGATAGAGGCAAAATTATTATATTTCTCTTCTTGGTTCTTTCGGTAAAGTCACGTAGAAGGGAAATAATAAAATAATAAAAATAAAACATAAGAAAATAATTCTCCGGACGTTTCGGCCACAACGCAAGCAGCCGTCCTCAGGTGACGCTGTCTTTCCGACAGACCTGTTCTTCACCTGAGGACGGCTGCTTACGTTGTGGCCGAAGCGTCGTGAGAATTATTTAATAATGTCGTATTTTTATTATTTAATTATTTCCCTTCTACGTGACTTTACCGAAAGAACCAAGAAGATGAATCCCTGCAGTCACGAAAGCTTTAAATCGAACTAAAATTATATTTGTTTGTTTTACTCCCTTGTGGTGGGACTTTGTAGAAGGAACGTTGAGATTTATCAGGGCGCGGGGTGTCCAATAAAGGGGTTGACATGTCAGTCAGTCATTCGTCAGTATCCATTGCTGAATCAGAAAGAACCCCATTAGAACACGTGAGACATTGCCTCTTTCGCGAGGGCCACCTGCGTCAGCGTCAGATCGAGTGAAAGTCACCGGCCGAGAGCACTCCGTCACAATGGTGACCACACGCCCCCATTAAAAACGCAAAAACCGACACATTTTGTTAAATCAACCAATGACATTTCGTTTCTTCCCACTCCTCCCCTTCCCCCTCAATCAGCCAGGCAACTCCAGCCATATTCTTTAGGATCTTTTGCTAAAGTCACGTAGATGGGTTCAAACTAATAAAAATAAAATAAAACTTCAACGTTTCGATCACAACACAAGTGATCGCCCCGATGACCTCCTGATGACGACCGCTTGTGTTGCGATCGAACCGTCGTAATTGTTTGCCTATTTTATTTTCATTCATTTGAACCTCAATCTACGTGACTTTACCGAAAGACCCAAAGAATATGAATTCCTGCAGTCACGAAAGCTTCAAGTCAAGGACTCCAGCCATTTCCCGAGCAAGACCTCTTCCCCCCACGGTTACCGCAGATAGTCCCGGCGGCAGAGCTTGCGTCCGAGCTTGTAGTAGAGCCTTCGTCCCACCTCGCCCAGGCGGCAGCCGCAGAGGTCACAGCTGAGGCAATCCTCGTGCCAGAACTGCTCGATGGCCTTGAGGAGGTAGCGGTCGCTGATTGGCTGCCGGCACCCGCCGCACATCAGCATCATCGGCGGCATTCGCAGCACCTCGTCCACGGGCTCCCTGGGGGCGCAGTGGCACGCGCAGCTCATAGTCAGTGCGCCCGTTGCCGGGGCAACAGAGGTCGCAACCGGGTACCCGATACCCGTACCCTACCCGATACCCGGCTACCCGTACCCGGTCGGGTATGGGTACCCGTTTGCGACCCTGGTGCGGCCGGGTACGGGTAGGCCGTGAGTCACTTGTGAGTAACCGTTTGTCACTCATTTCCCAACGTCTTGTCTCTTCTCACAATTCAAGTTCCTGGAATCAACCCACCCGCGCCTGCAACATGGCTTCATCCCAGAGGTCGCAATCAGGTACCCGATACCCTTACCCTACCCGTACCCGGCCGGGTACGGATAGGGTACGGGTACGGCCGGGTACGGGTACGGGTACCCGTTTGCGACCCTGGTGCGGCCGGAACGGGTACGGGTAAGGAATCAAAACCCGTTTGCGACCTCTGCGGGGCAAGCAGACGTACGAAGACCTTGCCACTGATGTTAGCCGTGATGGGGGGTTGAACTCAATGACCTCCCCCCCACCTCACGTATTTATATTTGAAAGGAGGGTGGAGAGAGGTTAACTACCTCGCCTGGTATACAGGAGGTTGTGGGTTGATCACGACCCTGACGCCTGCTGTATATTTGGAGTTTGCGTGTCTCTCTCTCCCCGCGATGAGATGTTAACTACCGTCGCCTGGTACACGGGTGTGTGGGTTGGATCCCGACCCTGACGCCTGCTGTACATTTGGAGTTTGCGTGTCTCTCCCCGCAGTCGCGTGGATCTTTCTCCGGTTTTCCTCTCCACATTTAGAAACATGCCCGTTGAGTATTTTCTGCTGAGCGTTTCCACATGAGATGTTAACTGCCTATGCCTGGTATACAGGAGGTCGTGGGTTGTGATTCTGACACTGATGCCTGTATATTTTGAGTTTTCATGTCTCTCCCCGGGGTCTCGTGGATATGTTCTCCGGGTTTTCCCTCCATTTAGAAACATGCATTTAGCGTATTTGGCTGCATTACGTTTCCACATGACAAGCCACTTCGCTGAGATATAATTTGTGGCGAGGTCGCTTTTTAAAAAAAACAGCAATGTAGCTCAGTGGGCCTTACCTGGTAAAATAAAATTTGTATTTTTGATATGTTCTGTTGTTTAATTCCATCAGCCTATTGGCTTTCCAGGCCAATGCTATCAATCAGCAAACTCGGGACCGATTTCGACCATCTGGGTCTCATCAGCAGAGTCAGGGTTGGTGAAAAAAAATGCTGCTGGGTTACCGGATGTTATTGGCAAGAGCACGCCAAATAAAATATGGGACCCAGTTCAATGGCAAAGCAACACCGTTCACTAACTCAATGTGCCTTGCCATGCAGCAGCACCGGTAACAAAAAAAACCTAACAGAGCCAGAATTCTGCTCTTTTATCTCCTCAAATAACGAAACATGATTTAGTTTATCAGCCTAAACATCAATACGCTCATTGTCTTTTGCACTGAATAGGAACAGTGAGTTGGATTCTAGGACCAAGGCTAACATCAGTGACAAGCGATATCTGAACCAGTCCTTGGCTCCCCCCTTCACCGACCTGCACTGACCAGCGTGGCGAAGTATGGGCAAAGCCCCCCTTGACCAATATGGCATGGGGGGGGGGGGGGCTTTGGCTATTATTTACTCTGTAGCAATGGGGTCCTCCCGGATGATTGGGGTCCTCCCCCCAGATGATGGGATCCTCCCCACCTGGTCGGATTATTGTTATACAGTCTCAGATAAAATACTTGACGGTACTGTTTTGCAAAGAGGAACTTACACATGACACGTGGTAAGGTGGCTTGTGAACGAATAATACTTCCAAACTTCCATCCCTTTCAAGTACATGCACAGTACACATTACGTCGATCATTGTACACTTCACGCACCGGATAATTGCTGAACACGTCCGACGCAATTTGGGAAAGGTGTAGGTCCACTTAAGAGTGTAAGACAAAGATGCCCCGTACAGCCTTTACCATTAATATTGGGGCAAGTGCTGTTCGCGAGCGCACGTTAAGTCCGGCAACTTCAAATGTGGGTGGGTGGTGGCCAACACCACGCCCGGCCGCCTTTATCTCCCTAGTGGCGATGTTTACACACCGCACCAGGTACTCATTTGAGGCTGAGTCGACCTGGGGGTGGGGGGGAGGCCCAGATAATCGTCACTGTTGGCCGTGAGCTGGAATCGAACTCGAGTGGCTGGGTTCGTAGGGCAGTGCACATCCACTGCGCCACAGCTCCCCACACACGTGTGCCTCTTCACTGGAAGCATGGCTCATGCCCATGATCTCGAGATCATGGGAGATGGCAACGGTTTCGGCAGGCCTTCATCCAGCGGTGGATAATTCACGGCTGATGATGATGATATGATCAATGCAATAAAACTAGACGACTCTATACGACGACATCGCTGCAGTAAAAATGGGTTCATGTTCACATTACGGGGGTAACCCAATGCAGCTACTGTATGATGAATTACACATACAGCCCACAACATCCGTCACATATCCCGTCAACCTGCCAAAAATATACACTTTCAACTTATATAATTATATCATATAGGCTATGTGTTTCGCGGTCTATCCTCCTGGCAAAGTGAAAACGTTGACCGCGTGACATGTCTATGAGTTAATACCACGGCTCTTTGGTCAATCCACTGCTGGATGAGGACTTCCCCACGCATTTTGCTCGTAGGAAGAGTTGTTCGACCATACTTCACTACCTTGGTCAGTTTATGGTTGAGGGGGAGGGGGGGAGACGCTACCACATCACTCTCTTGACTGATGTGAGCCATGGCCCAGGGAGTCGATCATGTTTACAACTCATGCGGTGCGCTAACCACTGCGCCACCGCTCCACCTCCCGTACAATTCACAATTATCATCATCGGTAGCTATGATCGATCCACTGCTGGATTAAGCCCCCCCCCCCCCAAAAGCAGTCGCGATCTCGCACGATCTTGCGATGTAACGATCCGAGACGACACCCGTCCCATGGCTGACGTTCTCTCTGTCGCGCCAGTGTCACAACTTCCCCTCTGCGTGAATATTCGCAGGGCCCTGATGCACTCGGCATTTCGAAGTGCATTCTGCTCCACGATGGGTTGCAACTCAGCCCAGTACTTTGTATCGCTGTGGAACAATTCCTCGGCGAAGCGGTAATTGTATACCCATTGCCAGGGCGTATTAATTTTATATTACGGGACGCTGCTCGTACCGCTGGTTCGGTGTAGTGATCATCGGCGTAAGGCACTGGCCACTGCAGTACGATGTACTCCAATCGACAATTACCCTGCACTGTATTATTATACCCTATATGTACCCACAACCGCACACACACACACCAACCTGTACGTACGCAAGGACTTTAACCTTGTCCTACGGTGCAATTCTGTGTGAGTACGGGCATATAGATGTATAGGAACTTACTCTGCTGGCTCAGTCGTTTTCCGGGAGCTTGATGTCGACATGTTCATGCAGAGACCCGCACGCACAACACACAACACACACACGCGCGCGCGCACCGGAGTGACACAGCCAAGCCTCCAGCAGCGTTTTGTAGAAGTGGCGCGCACAGAGGGCCCCCTGGCCAAAGCCAAACTTCCTCTCCGCGCGCTCGTCGTGACTCGTCGCACAATGGGCGGAAATTAGCGCAATAGCCGCTTGCAAGTCTCGCGTCGGGTTTGAGACACGAAGCACTGAGAGTGGTGCTCTCGTCTCGGGGGTCGGCGGAGCTTCATTTCAGCCGGGTCTGTCGTCCCCTGTCAGCGACCGTCACCCGGCATTCCACGTCCAGTATACTTCCCGCTATGGCTGCAGCTACTTCTCGGAGTGTCCCACCTACATCAGTGTAACAGTGACACGCAAACTATCACAGTACCCGGCATACCACACCCAGTATACTCCTCGCTATGGCCTTGGCTGCTGATAGTTCGGTGCCAGACACTCCAGACTACCAGCGACCCATGAAAATGTTCAGTGAGATACGAATCTCTGAGAGGAATGCTTCGTTTTGTTGTCTCCCAAACGCCAGTCCCTGCCGATTTGCCACCGAGGCAGTGGACGGATTTTTCGACGTTTATTGACCTTTTTCGCTCGAGTTGTAATTTAAGTCGCTGCACGCTGTACGCGCCTGATGATTGTACCCACACGTATACACAAGATCTACAGTATAAAACGAATCAGCGCTGTTACAACACGTACAAACAATACATTCATTATTGTCCTGCACTGCATCGAAATGGGAATTTAATTGACACGCACCATGCGTGGTGGGAGCAGCTATGAGCCCTGTGACCTGCGTTCGATTCCTGGACACGCCTAAGATCAATGGCGAGTGATATACCAAGCGATACTGCTATGACATCTTCCCCTTCATCGTACACTCACCACCGTGGTGAAGTATGGTCAACGCCTCCCCACCACCCCCTCCCCCCCATGGACCCGGCATGGAGAGGTCTTCATCCAGTAGTGGATTGACAAAGCGCTGTAAATTGTTTTATACCGAGTGTGTGATCTTATTTTTTCCAGTAGTTGTAAAAATCACACTGGAGTAAATAGTTTCCAAAAAGTAGGAAACAGTTTCCAAAAGTTGCAAGAGCAGGTAATCATGGGGCGAAGTGCATTAGCAAGTGTGAGGTTAATGCAAAAAAATATGCTATAGTTTCAACCAACCCGCATTGACCAGCGTGGTGAAGTATGGTCAAACAATCCATACGATTGACAGGGCGTGGGGGAGGGGAGCCATTCTTCCGGCAGCGGATTGGCAAAGGCCTGATAAGTATTATAATAACAGCATTACATTCTCACTTTTACAAACGGAGGTACGTTCCCTACATCATGCCTCGACGCAGTTTATTTTTTTCAGAAGGGCAAATCATTCCCTGCTACGAGCACTACATTATGGAACCAGAACACAAATTAGTCACTCTGACATTTTGACCATGCTGTGCATTCATGCGTTCCGGTGTCGGCAATGATTAATTAATTACAAATGTTAGATATATTTGTAAAAAAATAAAGAGACATTGTGAAAATGAGTACAGTATATTCTTCCGTTATATAGTTTTTTCATCGTGGCTTCTGGAGTTGTGTTTTGTTATGCTTAATCTCGTAAGCAGAACGGGGATCATTAATATCTTATCTATAAACGTAAATTTTTATGATAATTTGTTTTTACCCTTTTATCTGGCAACAAAACTGATACATTTTTTACAAGGAGTCATGTTTGCATAGACCACAATACCTGCAGTCGTAATGAAAACAAAAAACATAACTCTGATAATGTATGCACTGTCCTTGAAGTTGATTGGTCCACACCCGAGACAGCTTTCCTTAGAGCCTAGTCTCACATGGTGTTGGACCAGATGACGCCAAAAGGCGCCTTTGTGGACCAATCAACTTCAAGGACAGTGCATACATTATCAGAGTTATGTTTTTTGTTTGCATTACGACTGCAGGTATTGTGGTCTATGCAAACATGACTCCTTATAAAAAAAAGGTGTCAGTTTTGTTGCCAGATAAAAGGGTAAAAAAACAATTATCATATTTTTTTCTTCTGGCAAATGAGGTTCCAATGGTGTAATTTTTTTAATTATACGTAAATAATTCCAAAGGTCGATGTCACTAAGCCCTGCCGACCACCTCCCGTCCAGCGGCACACGTGAGAACAGGGATGAGACTTTTTTAATCCCCCCCCCCTAACTCCCAAGTAGTTTTGCGTTCTCCGATATGTCGAGTAATCGAAGCGGTGATAAATAACTGACTTAGATGGTCAAATATCCCGGCCTAAATCCGCAGTGTTTGGGCTACGTTTGTGAAGTGCGCTTTGTTGATGTAAAGTCGTTTTACGGAATCGCGACCCCGTGATGCCATTAAACAGCGCTACCACCAAGCAGCACTTTTCCTTTGTTTTCATTCCTTCCCCAGTTACGTTGTTGATGATGGATTGATTGTGCCCGATAGGCACTTCACTACAAGTCTTACGTCGACTCTATAGAGTCGTTCCCTGGCGTTAAATGACATTGTGACCACTTTATGGGTGTTTTTCTATGCCCAAACAGGACGTGCATCCCTCTCCAAGGGCTTTTAAGAATTGGCAAAGTTACTCAAGAATTGAAAGTTCTTCAGGAAACTTATTATTCTTATTCCGTTCTCAATTCCTGAAGAAGCTCCCGACACGTGTGAAAACACATTGGAGAGCCGTGCGGTAACAACCGTGAAAACCTCCTGCACAGCTCTCACGAATCACCATCAACCATGATTAATCCACTGCTGGATGAAGGCTCTAAGTAAGTTGTCACCATCTCCCACGATCTTGCGAACAATTCACACAGCACCTGCACACGAAGTTATACAATCGCTCCATCTCCCACCGTGACGTCCCTCTCGGGCGAATTCCAGCCCCTTGCTGAAAAATATTATTTCATGCATTCTGAACTCTTTTCCCCACGCTACAGGTTGTCATTCTTCTAATTTCGTATGACTGATGTAGATGCAGAGCAAACAACGACAATTTCACGTTCAGGTAATCAAAGCCTGAAAACCGCGTCACCTTTGCACATAAATGTGGTCATTTTGACGTTAGTCAATTTGTAGATTTGTTTGATTTATAACTTGTTCAGGTTTTGTTTGATGCTAAACACATATATACATTAAACTTTGCATGTAAATTCCAAACATTTCATTTCTTGACTTAAACCCCCAGTCTTCTAAACTACACGTCCATCTCTAAGCTCTGCACGAGATTCGATGCCCGAAACGTCAACTGCGATAACGTACTTCCGTTCTACGGCAGTGCCAATTATGCACGGGCACGACTGTTTCATCACGGAAACAACCCACCGTGGCATTGTTTCTCATAATCAGAAGGGGGGAAAAAAACATCGTCCATTTATACAGGAAGGTCTTGCTGAGTTCCAAGAATGTTTTGCAGGAGGGTCCTGCGTTGGGATGTTGGTCCATTTCCGTTCGGTAATTAACGAGTGTTTTGCTTCGTGCGGGAGGAAACTCGCGAACCCGGAGACAACCCACCCCGAGGCCGGTGGCATTTTATTTTAAAGCACGTGCGTTTTAGGAACCCACTTGCTGTACTGCATTGCCGTGACCGTATCGCAGGGAAGCGTGTTTTGTAATTTTCAGACAATTTGCGTGCTCCGATAAACCGTGCCTCCGAAGTGATTGATCAAAGGGCCTAGCAGCGCGCCACCGCTCCTGTCGACACGTGACCTGTACGCACATTGAAATGTGATTAAAGAAAAAAAGACCTCGCGAAGCTGGATTCCTGGAAGTCAGAATGAGGGGCACGGTATTACCCTCGGTGGTGCCCTTTGGTGCCCTCTTTGCCGTTGCTACTTTTGGTTCTCGAGTCAAAAAGCGGAAGAATGCTTCACAAAAAGCACGTGGTCCTTTCCCTGCCTCTCTCGGTGTTATTCCAAGCACCCGCACCTCCATCGCGATGGCTTTGGAGAGACCTTCATCGAGCCATGTAAAGATCATATCTGATGATGATTAGTAGAAGTATGATGATGTAAAATTGTGAAATAAATCAATTAGTAGTACGGTATGATGGTTTGAAAACAAGATGCTGATATTGACATCTGGCACTCAGTGTCTCTGACAAGTGATCGTAGCCATGCCAATCACCCCTTTGGATATTTTGTCCTCTCTCTCGATCAGATCTCGCGCTCTGCATTTTAGAAAGGGAAATGTAAATGTCTTTGGTGTCGTGATCATCATCGTGCTCATTTTGGTTATCGAGTGATACACGCGGAACTATAAACGTAGTTCAATATACAAACGAAAGTATGCTACGATGCATGCAGTTTATATCCACGGTATATTTGAACATACATATTTCACAATGCCACAGTGCAATAGCGTCATGTTATTGCCACGCTCATGAATTAACCCATCTCAAGTCTCTCAATCGCCCCCAAAAATTCCACAAGAAACAATGCACACTCCACATTGTAGAACGAGAGCAACACCCACCCGTGCCACCATGCGTCAGGTCGTTTTAACATTGTAAAGAGGTGTTCAGATGGGGGGGGGTGGGGTGGTAAGCCAACGAGAGAGATGGCCTGCAGACCCTTATTTAATTCCAAACTCCACTTTGCCCGTTGAGTCAGTGGGTTTGGAGAGTGGTTAACCGCGGAAGCAGACCGGCACCAGCGATACGATGGGTGGGTGCAATGTGCCCCGAAGCTGATAGCCCGAGTCGTAATAGCCGGGGCCACACAGGCCGGGTTATTACAGCAGCACGAAGAAAATTAAATTGATAGCCAATGGCTTGCCAAGTAGCAGTGGTGAATATACACATACGCTAGAGGAGTACAATAATATAATCATTGCTTGTGAATGACTCGTACCGTGTTATTCCTTGTGCACTTATTGCAGATGAGTTATAGCCCTGTGTTGATCCAGCGCTGGTTAAAGGAATCTTCCACGCCCAGTGTCGGATTATCCCAGTAGCAAAAGTATCTACAAATGCTACGGGCCCCGCACTTTCAAGGGTCCCGCGCTAAATGCGTTCAAGTTATCAATTCCCGTTCAGTGATTCTGCACTCGCTCTATTATTATAGTACTATACCGCCTTCAACTTTTATGAACGACTGGGTGTTTATGGTGAGCGATTTGTCGTATTATCTGGCTGTATAGCAAATGAACAAATACAATTACTTTATTGTGCAAGTAAAAAATGTGTGTTTTTTTATTTATGTGTTTTTTTTAAGGCCCCTTTATAACATATGCTGCACGCCCTGTTAGTTATGTGGGGGTTGTTTGACCATACTTCACCACACTACCCAGTGTGGGTTGGTGAACTGGGAGTAGGTGGTTGATTTAAATGAAATAATTAAAATGTTCATAGTAATTCGCATGTGTAGTACAATGTTGTAAATGTAATAATTGTATTGTTTACATTGCAGTATAGGCAAAGCATTAATGTATTTGGCCAAACATCAAACGCAGCATCCTGTGTAAAAAATAGCGAGGGTTTGCTGTATAAAAAAGACAAGTTTGTTATCGGAGTAACTGCCTAATTTCTGAGATATTTAGGTTCACACATCACAGGAGGCGAATTAATTGGTTCACTGATGTGAACCGTGGTTAACTCGATACCTAAAGCAATTCGAAATTACAGCCCTGCGCTATGATTTCCCTTCTACGTGACTTTACCGAAAGTACCAAGAATATAAATCCCTGCAGTCACGAAAGCTTTAATTCGAAACCCCAGGCCATCATTTTTGGTTCGCCCCAAATTTCCAAACCTTTATTTTTAGGTTTATTTTGTTCTAAGCATTCCCTAAACTGTTATACTATAATTGGTATTTATACTGTAATGGGTATTTAGTCGAGTGGTGATGACTTGTAATCCAGCACGGTGGAGGCGATGGTTTGTGTATCACTCAAAATGTTGGTAAACTCACTTCCCGCGGTGCGTCGAGGAAGTGCCACCGTACCTTGGCTTTCCAGTTGAGATCGCGAGTTGCCCCCTCACACTTGTGGATTTTCTGCAGGTGATCCGGTTTCGTTGTACGTGGAGCCACGTATTAATCGGCCGAAACGCCTTATTATATATTCTTGGTTCTTTCGGTAAAGTCACGTAGGAGGGAAATAATAAAATAATAAAAATAAAACATAATAAAATAAAATTCTCACGACGTTTCGGCCACAACGCAAGCAGCCGTCCTTAGGTGAAGAAACAGAGCTGTCGGAAAGACAGCGTCCTAATGAACACTGCTAAGCTTGGCAGCGTATTTTAAGCTGGGTGGGAGGAGGAGAGCGCCTTGACAAAGGAGTTTACATATCAACAGAGGAATTTGGCATATTGATGACAAATGCCTTATTATATGTAGAGAATATGTAGAGAATCGCAAACCTTGGGCAATTGGCTCACCGCGTGGCTGCTACCGCCATCCCGCTCGTCTGTGGTTCCTCGCGCATCCGAGTCGTTCTCTCTCTTCGAGAGCGAGCAAATGGTGTGCGCGTTCTGAGTTGAAATGACGATGATTTTTGATTGGTTATTAAATATTCTAGATGGCAATTACATGTGCAATTAAACAGAACTGGAGTATAATTATGTATCCCGTGTTTAATTATTCGCAGTTTACCAGACACGCCCCATAACCTTTGATTTGTAACAAAATTCCAGCTTTCATAGAACACCAGCATAATGAAACACCATCCGTCACAGTGTTGCAAAACACATGGAATGAAACGTTTACATTCAAATATACGCCCATGACTAACTAGGCAGTGTATTTGTATTTGCTCGACCATCTCATGACGTTGCATTCTCTCACGTCGTGTGTGTGTGTGTGGCCTCTTTAGCCACGGCACGAGCCTGCCTGCCGCTACTGCTGCGACGGACCCATGTGAAGCAGCGATGCTGCTGGCACATGTGGAGGAGCATCGTGGGTGTCTGGGCGTACGCAGAAATGTTAGATAAGGCCTAGAGACATTCGCCACGTTTCCAAGTTACGGCCAAGAGGCACCCACGACATTTTGGGTGAACATCTTGGTATTGTTTTAGTATGAGTCATTTTTTTTGGACATCACTTCTACAAGAAAATATATTCGCCAATTATGCTAATATGGCAGCACATGAGCAGTATGGGCTGCGTATTGAGTTGATAGTAGATGTGTAGATGTGAGAAATACCGAATTTTTAGTACAGATGAACTGCTTCATAATAAACGTTTTTGGGTTAGATCGCGTTATTTATAAATGTGTCGTAACCCTCCACCACCCGACACGGCCAATCAGCATCATCGGGCGAATTGCCCGATGATGCTGGCTGCAATTACCAGCGAAACTTCGTACTCAAAAATTGTAAATGTTGTGGTTTCACTCTTCAACACACCGGTGGGCTAAAGTAGTGAACTATTTGTCTTTTGTCAACGTGACACTTTTTTTTGCTGATTGGCCGTGTCGGGTAGTGGAGGATTACGACACATTTATAAGTAACGCGACCTAACCCCAAAACGTTTATTATGAAGAATATTGGTCGCGAAAGCCTGCTACGTTAAGATGAACTCCTCTCATCTGAAATCTAACCCTAATAACCGCCGGGAACACATCCATTGACGAGCGCAGCAAGTGCTGCCACAGTGAGCGTGGTGCAGAGGTCGCAACCGGGTACCCGATACCCATACCCTACCCGATACCCGGGTACGGGTAGGCCGTGAGTCACTGGTGAGTAACCGTTTGTCACTCATTTCGGGTAGGGTACGGGTAGGGAACAGGTACCCGTACCCGGCCGGGTACAGGTACCCATTTGCGACCCTGGTGCGGCCGGGTACGGGTAAGGAATCAAAACCCGTTAGCGACCTCTGGCGTGGTGGTAGCACGGCAGTGACGGCACCCCGCTCAGGAGGGAGGGAGGGAGGAGGATGGGGGCCTGGATTCACAATCGGGGCGTCGCTGTCACTCCGAGACGGAGTCGTCGTCTTCGCGTTCGCTCACAACGGGCGTTTCCACAGCCCTGCCGCCGCACAGTGGGACGGAAGCTTGGTTTGCTTCGTGACTTCCTGCCTAACAATAATATACTACCATCTTCTCCGGCTTGTAAGACCCACTTCCGTCCCCCCACCTCCTCCTGCTCGTCTCCTTTGGCACGCGCCAGAGGTCGCAAACGGGTTTTGATTCTTTACCCGTACCCGGCCGCACTAGGGTCGCAAACGGGTACCCGTACCCGGCCGTACCCGTACCCTATCCGTACCCGGCAGGCGCGGGTGGGTTGATTCTAGGAACTTGAATTGTGAGAAGAGACAAGAAGTTGGGAAATGAGTGACAAACGGTGACTCACCAGTGACTCACGGCCTACCCGTACCCGTACCCGGCCGCACCAGGGTCGCAAACGGCTACCCGTACCCGGCAGGGTACGGGTAGCCGGGTATCAGGTAAGGTACGGGTATCGGGTACCCGGTTGCGAACTCTGGCACGCGCTGACCACTTTCACCACCAAACCACCAGGGTTGGGACACTGTGAGTTCAACTCATGGACACGGATATCATTAGCCGTCGGTGTTATTATCTAAGGCGGTCCTGGGCTTCTCCTAGGGTTACTCAACATTAAATGCGAACCTGGTGCAGTGTGGCTCCATCAGTACGAGCCACTAATCCGCGCGATGATGAAGTATGGTCAAACAACCCACATGGACCGACACAGCATTCAAAGCCATCAGCCAGCAGCGAATTCATACAATGCTCTACACTATTACTATTATTACTTCTGCTGAGTGGTGCATCTAATCTTACAATTTCCATACTTCCTGCTGAATTTGCCAACAAAGTATGCTCACAAATGTACGCCTTGCAGGAGCAACTCAAGCCACCGGTTGCCCACGTGTGACGTGAAGCAATGTCCAGCGCCGCCTGGTGGAAGGCTCCCAACATCACACACGGGCCCGTGCGCTCGACTTCACACCCGGGTCACCCAGCGTCACGCATCAGCACAAAGGGGGTCGCACAACCAAAAGAACAATAGTAGGGTTTCGATTTAAAGCTTTCGTGACTGCAGGGATTCATCTTTTTGGTTCTTTCGGTAAAGTCACGTAGAAGAGAAATAATAAAATAATAAAAATAAAACATAATAAAATCATTCTCACGACGTTTCGGCCACAACGCAAGCAGCCGTCCTCACCTGATGATGGCTGCTTGCGTTGTGGCCGAAACGTCGTGAGAATTATTTTATTATGTTTGATTTTTATTATTGTATTATTTCCCTTCTACGTGACTTTACCGAAAGAACCAAGAAGAACAATAGTAGGGGTTGGGTTTTTTTATCTCTCTCCATTTTTGAATTTGGTCAAACAAAAAACAAACAACTCGACGTTAGGGGGTCGCACAACCAAAACAACAATAGTAGGGGTTGTTGTTTTTTCTCTCTTTTCAAATTTGGTCCAACAAAAAACGAATAACTCGATGTTCCAAGAGACGTAATGCTACGTGAATAAACGTCACGAAGCAGTCATTAAAGAACATCAGGCTTCTGACCCCTGGCCATGACCTACCCCACACTGCTGGATGAAGAGCTCTCCACCACCCAAAACCAACCACCATGAGAGCGCGCGGTTTTACAATGCCACAATCAATTTGGTTTCTGCGCAAGAGTTGATTTTATCGCTCCATCTCCACGGCGGAGGTACCCTCCCGGGCGTGTCCCACTCTCACACAGTACTTGCCATCAGCCATCCCATCGTCCCTTCCAGCTATGTGTCCTGTCCAAGGTGCCTGACTCTTCCGGACGGGCCAATATGATGTCTTTAACCTGCCTACGTCCCTTGAACCGTGTGCGTCTCTGTCTCCGTGTCATCTCTGCGCGCATCTTTGCACACTTTTCAGCTCTTGCTCCATTGCATTTGCCAATGTCCGGTGGGGTTTTTTTTATCCGTTCGCCATCGCACTTTAAACTCCCGCGGTTCTCCGAGGCGCAGACGGGTCGATACGAGAGCTGCCACGCCGCCGTCGCAGAGTGCCGCCTCTTCTCACGACGCCCAGCGTATTCTATTTAAATGGATTCTACTCAATAGATCCGAACAGAAATGTAACACAAAGTTAATTGCTTACTAGTTTTTTATGCTATTGATTTTTTTCTTCATTTAAAAAATATATTTAAAGATTATTACAAATTGGGGCGTCACCCCTACGCCCTGTACATAATCGCCAATGACCTGCAACACAACCGCCATTCGCCACTAAGTGGCGGGGTCGTCACCACAGTGCTTGTGCCAGGCTAGGTAGGTAGAAAGTAAAATAAATCAAATCACTTTTATATTTATTTTATTTTATACCTACGTGGACTTTACCGAAAGAACCAAAGAGTATGTACCTATATATACAAATTGTTGCTGGTAATTTCACATCACAGCCCATGTCTATCATGGGATTGTGTCTGGATGTGTCAGTGTCTTTGTCGCAAGCTGTTTACACCTCCACTTGATAGTGATGCAGCCCCAATATTTACGTGATGAATTACCCACGCGGATGAGTGGCGCCTCCGCAGTAAAAAAAACTCAGTTGGCCACAGCATGGGAATTGTTTCCTCGTCATGCGACCCAAGGCTATCCAAGGCAGGCAGACACGGGCGAGTGTGGCGCTGCGGGCACCAGGTTCAGGGATCCAATGATTCGCTCTTGGGGCTTGCATCTCCCATCGCCGCTAGAGGGCGACACTCGCAGTGAAATCCGAGCGCGCACGGCAGCATATTGCGGGGTTGTGAAGCTTCTCGGTTGAGACTGGATCTCAAGATGGTGTACAAACACAGGGCGGCATTGTTGGCAGCAAGGGGCGTAGGAGGGCATCTACCAGAGAAGTGCGTGTTCCGTTATTTGCCCAGGATAGGGGCAGGGGAGATACAGGGCGGACAGCAAAAAGGAACTTCGTAATCATAGGTAGAGGAGATAATAGTTTTTTTACCCTTCTATCTGGCAACAAAACTGACACCTTTTTTTACAAGGAGTCATGTTTGCATAGACCACAATACCTGCAGTCATAATGCAAAAAAATAACTTCAAGGACAGTGCACATTATCAGAGTTAGGTTTTTTGTTTGCATTATGACTGCAAGTATTGTGGTCTATGCAAACATGACTCCTTGTAAAAAAAGGTGTCAGTTTTGTTGCCAGATAGAAGGATAAAAAACAATTATCATATTTTTTACTGGCAAATGAGGTTCCAATGGGGTAGAGGAGAGTTTAGTTTTTTTTGTTTTAGTTTCATGTATTAGGTATAGCCCTGTGAGCCATGCGGCTCTTGAATCGGGTGCAACCGCAACAAACAAAAACATGACCAAGAAACATCTCAAAGTGACTACGCGCAAACAGAAAAATCCAGGAAAAAAACAGCAAAGTCTTCCAGAAAAAGCACCGTACATCAACGCTGTGTGCAAAAATCCCAGAGGGATGACTTGAGTTG